AAAACATAAAAGACCTCTATAGACGTCTTTGGCAGCCAATGAGATTAAATGTAAACTTACACCTTAACCAGCTGGTAATTTTTCTGCACTTCTGCAGAGAAGGTTCAAAAGAAGTGTATTTTCTTTAAGTCAGATTTATGTGACAAAGGGCAAAATCTAAATGTTTTTTTTGGGGTACAGAGCTTTTAATGAGTGTGTTCATCTGTAATCAGACTGTGTTCTGCTGCATACTTTGAAAAATTGAAAACAGTGCTGTTTCAAAGCTAGACAGCATCAATCAATCTGAATTTATCTGTTTTGCTTTTCCTAAAAAAGCCCCAGACAGCTTTCCCAGAGGAATGAAGGGATGGGGCTCCAGGAAGGACAACATGGAGATCAGCTGGGAGGTAAGTGTGTAAGAGGATAGAGAAAAAGAGGGAAAATAGACCTATTAGTTAAATATTCTCAATTTAAGTGTACAGCAAAATACTCGTTTTTGGATAACTTATTATGAGAAATCTGCCAATTTATTTAGTAATGAATAAACTGACAGATTTAGACGACCTATCTTTTACACCGAGAACATGGGAGGTTATCCAGGATGTTGAATTTTCTCCTGTGTTCTGTTAGAAATGACTGCATAAGACACAAAACAAAGGCTGTATTTACATGCACAGAAAAAGCTCTACCTCTCACGTGCACGGTAGGGGGACCATGGAAGACCCGTATACAGACCCAGATAAGGGATTTATTCAGAGCTACAACAGAAAGCATGACCAGGTCATGACTATAGAAAACTGATGGGGGTTTTAGTCTGATTTAATGTTATTATTGGATGGTGGTTTCTTATCCACAGGTGTTTGGAGGTTATGTGAGGCTCCTCTGGGACGTGTTCTCTCATTAGGGGCTACTCAGGCTCTTTCTTAACTCATTGACTGGCAGCCATTTTCAGAACAGAGTCCCATACTGCCAGAGTTTTTTGAGCATTTTGACTGATTTTTCAAGAGCCACAGAATAGTTTGTGCTATGACTATGTAAACACCGAACACACCAAAAG